ACCTGCCTCTGCCTCCCAAGTGCTGGGATTAAAGGTGTGCGCCACCACGACCCCCCGGGTCTGATTTCTTGAGACAAGGCTTCACCTTGTAGGTGAGGCTGGCCTCACTCTCAGAGATCTGCCTACCTGTCTCCCAAGGCAGCACCCGCTTTTAATCCCAGCACTTGGAAGGCAGAGGCAGGCGAATCTGTGAGTCCGAGGCCAGCCTGATCTACCAAGCTAGTTCCAGGACAGCCAGAGTTACACAGAGAAACCCTGTCGCAAAACAAAGCAAAACAAACAAACAGAAAGAATAGCCCTTATAGGCTCATATATTTAAATGATTAGTCACCAAGGAGTGGTACTATTTGAAAGGATTAGAAGGATTAGTAGGTATGGCCTTGTTAGAGGAAGTATTTCACTGGTTGTGGGCTTTGATGTTTCAAAAGCCCATGGCAAGCCCAGACACACACACTCTCTCTCTTCCTCCCTCCCTTTCTCATTGTGGATGAGGATGTAGCTCTCAGCTACTTCTCCAGGATCACACCTGCCTACCACCATGCTCTCTGCCATGATGGACTAAGCCTCTGAAACTGTAAGCAAGGCCACAATTAAATGCTTTATAAGAGTTGCCTTGGTCATGGTGTCTCTTCACAGCAATACAACAGTGAAGGCTTGATACTTATATCTGTGCTTCAAAAATGAGATGGTAGAGGAAATAAATGCATGCAGTGGAGTATGAGGTGTGAGCATTTAAAAAAATACATTTATATTTATTTGTATGCTTGGGGATGAGTGGGTCACTTGTACCTACCACAGTGCACCTGTTGAGATCAGAGGACAACTTACAGGAATTGGTCCTGGGGCTCAAACTCATTTTCAGACTTAGGGGCAAGCACCTTTACTCACTGGGGCCATTTTATCAGCCCAGAAATAAATTTTTAAAGGCAGCAATACCTGTCTAACTGGCTCCCTAAGAGATGACAGGATGTCTGGGAGTGATGAAAAATAAGGCCAGCAGAAGAGGTAGAGTTAGCCTGGAATATAAAGGAATTAAAAGCTGAGATCCCTGGGTTTGAATGTCTGTTGTCTGCTTGGGAAAAGTCAATTTCTATTTTCTAGAGAGCAGTTTCCTTTCCTGGGAACTGCAAATATAATTTTCTGTAATCCTCTTCCCTGTGGTAGTGGTTGTTAAAACTTGATCACACACTGGAAATTAAATCAGAACTTTAAATACTATTGATATCTGGGTTCCAAAACCCAGAATTATCTGGTCTAGAATCAATAGCTGGGACCAAGTGCAAAAGACTGTGGGTGACACATCACTTTGAAGCTATAAGCAGCCCCCAATAGGTTCATGGTCATCTCTGTTAATTTTCTTATTGCTGTGACAAAAATTACAGTAACACCTGAAGGAAGAACATTTTAGCACACAACTTCAGAGATTTCAGTCCATCAAAGCAAGGAGGGTACAGCAGCAGGCACACACAGCTTTGTCCAAGGTAATGGGAGTGTGAGGTGAAGCTACCAGACCAGGGAGCAGAGAAGAGAGAGAGAGCAGCTCCAGGAAGGAGTAAGTGTAACCTTCAAAGGCTTGCCTCCAGTGACCTACTTCACTTGTCATGTTCAATCTCCGAACAGCTCCACAGCCTTCAAAAAGTGCCATTAGCCAGAGAACAAATGCTCAAAACACATGCCCAAAAGGGACAGTTCAGAGTCAAATCGTAACTCAGTATGTAACATTCTATGTCAGTGACTATGCTATGTCCCTTGCATATGTACTCTCATTAATCATTACAGCTCTATAAATGTCATTCCTCTCTCTACAGGTTCAAAACCGAAGAGAACAAATTACTCCCAGGATCGAGTACTGATGCACTGAATCTGTTGAACAGTTCAAAACAACAAACTGACTGTACAGGCTAGAGAACACTACGAAAGGAGTGCATCAAGTCAGATTAACTACATAGAAGTCCTTTCTACCCACACCCATCTCTGTCCATGGCTGAAAATCAACCTAAAACCTCTCAGGAAGGGTAGGCAAGTGCTCTACTGCTAAATTACATTCCTATCCCAGGAGAAAAATCTACTCAGCCACTCTTGCCATATGGGAATTTCAGGGTCATATTTTAAGATTTTTTCAAAAAAAAAAGATGGAAATCTTTTCTTTGCATATAATCTCTTAATATTTCAGTGTCAAGTTGCTTAAAACAATATTATGTGGTTCAAACCAAATAAGGCTACAAGTTTGCTTCTCTGGTTCATACGATGTTGAAATTCAGAAGGAAGAGCTCTGAACTTCAGATACAAGACTAGGAAATCCTTAAGCAGAAATGATAGTAACACACCAGGAATAGTGTGTGATGGAATAATAACCAATGAGGTGGGTGATGCAGGAATCCCAGGCACAGACAACAAAAATATTTAGGAAGCTGAGGCAGGAAGATACCAAGTATGAGGCCATCCTGAGTTACATGGTGAGAGGCTCAAAAAAACAAAAATGATACTTGACATGATTAGTTAAAAACAATGTGAAAAGCCAGGCAGTGGTGGGGCACACCCTTAACTACAGCAGAGGCAGGAGGAACCCCCACCCCACCCCCACCCCCAGACAGGGTTTCTCTGTGTAGTTTTGGTGCCTGTCCTGGATCTCGCTCTGTAGACCAAGCTAGCCTCAATTCACAGAGATCTGCCTGCCTCCTGAGTGCTGAGATTAAAGGCGTGTGCCACCACAGCCCAGCCAGCAAGAGGAATGTTATGAGTTTGAGACCACCATTCTGCAGAGCAAGTTCCAGGACAGCCAAAACTACACAGTGAAACCCTGTCTCAAAATATATATATATATAAAACAAGACTCTTCCGGGCGGTGGTGGCGCACGCCTTTAATCCCAGCACTCGGGAGGCAGAGGCAGGCGGATCTCTGTGAGTTCGAGGCCAGCCTGGTCTCCAAAGCGAGTTCCAGGAAAGGCGCAAAGCTACACAGAGAAACCCTGTCTCGAAAAAAAACCAAAAAAATAAAAATAAAAATAAAAAATAAAACAAGACTCTTAGCAGTTTCCCAGACTTAACTAGAAATGAATAAAATAGATATGTAAAGCTATTTGGTTACATTTAGAATCCAAGTATTTGAAATTTTATACATCCAAAATATGATTCAAACTTCAAATTTGTATGACTGAAAAGATTTTTTTTTTCAAGACAGGGTTTCACTGTGTAGTAGCCTTAGCTATCCTTGAACTCACTCTGTAGACCAGGCTGGCCTGGAACTCACAGAGATCTGCCTGCCTCTGCCTCAAGTGCTAGGGTTAAAGGTGTGTGCCACCACCGCCCGGCTGAAAGAGTCGATTTTTTTAAATCTACATTTATTTATCTTTTATTTTTGTCTTTGTTTTTATTTGTTCTACTTTGGTTGACTGCCTGTGAGCTCAGCACCTCACATGCTTGCATATCTACAAAACTCACAGCAGAGTCTTCCAATTAGCAAGTCGAGAAAAGACCCTTAAAAGATAGTACATGTGCACGGTGCCTCAGCATACACGTGGAGGTAAGAAGTCAACCTCGTCTTTCTATCATGTGGGTCCTGGAGATTGAACTCAGTCATCAGGCTTGGCAGCAAGTACCTTTACCAGCAGTACCATCTTGCTGGCCCCTTTAAAAAAATTTAATTGAAGTCAAATTCCTTATTTTTAGGACATCCATGTTTTAGGACCAAGTGACTATTCTTTCACATCTACATTATTATAATGAGTACGGAGTTTTTTAATCACTGTTTCTACCACACAGATGTCTTCAGTATATCATGAGGCACATAAATCACTTGTATAAAACTAAAGTATCACATTATATATTTCTACAAGTTATAAACTTTTACAGAAGTTATACAAAGTGAAATCTTTTGTATCTTTTAAAAACTGCCCTTTCCCCAAAAATGTTTTTTTCACACATAACTAACTCCAAAAATGAAAAAATGCTTTTTACAGTTTTTAGTTTAAGTGAATTTTATTTAATAGCATTAATTCTATAGCAAAGATCTAAGGATGCTAGATTGCATTAGAAACTGTCAACACCACACTGTGCTATTATCAGACTTAAATGTTAAGGAGAGTACAATTTCTTCTGAAAATTCTATTTAAGGACTAGGTCTTTCACCATCAAGACATGCCAAATTAAGTTTGGGTCTTTGAAAATCCAGTTCTTGGGCATTCCAAGTCATGACTTAAAAACACACGTGCTTTTTTTTGGGGGGGGGTCACCCATTGTACCAAAAACTACAAAGCTCAAACACGGAGATTGGGCATTTCTGTTGTTTACGTACCTTTTTTTTTTTTTTTTTTGGTTTTTTGGTTTTTCGAGACAGGATTTCTCTGTGTAGCTTTGTGCCTTTCCTGAATCTCGCTCTGTAGACCAGGCTGGCCTTGAACTCACAGAGATCCACCTGCCTCTGCCTCCCTCTGTTAAAGGCGTGCGCCCTCATTTTTGTAAAGCTAAAAATATCGAAAACATCTGGGCGGTGGTGGCACACGCCTTTAATCCCAGCACTTGGAAGGCAGAAGGCGGATCTCTGTGAATTCGAGGCCAATCTGGTCTACAAAGCGAGTTCCAGGACAACCAGGGCTATTACACAGAGTAATCATGTATGGGAACGCGCCCCCCCACACACACACCCACAAAAAAAACCCTCAGTGGGACACAGCCATAACCCATCCTTTAAAATGCCACCTGTAAGTAGTTTAGCCTACCACCTTTGCAATGCCTCGTTTTACTTTATAACCCTAAGTAAAAGTGAAAACAGTGTGCAGCCCATCTTTGACATTTTTTAAATATGAAGGAAATTTTTTAAAAACGAGCTTGCAATTTTAAATCCTCCAAATGCCCGCTCTCTACAAACACTTCTCTAGGCAGCCTAGCATTTTCTGGGGCAAGCTTGGACACAGCAGGCCGAACATTGAGGAAATGCGAGGCCTCTAGCCTAGGGTACAAAGGCAATCCCTCCTCTTGATCCTTTTCTCGTTACTCTGCAGATGGAGGACCAACAAACAGAACGCTCTCCTTTCGATGGGCACACGTCCCTCTCCTCAGTCCGCAGGCCCGCCCGAGGCCAGGCCACGAGGCCACGCGGAGTTCTCAGGGGGCCAGGCCCGAGCAGGTCAAGGAGGAGGCAAGGAAGAGGTTCTTCTAGGCAAGCGTGGGGCTCGGACTCCGGAACAAAGCGCCGGCCCAGAAAGACACGCCGGCCCGGCGACGCACACTCACGGGGCTCCCGGCGCTACGCAAAAGCCCCGCAGCGCGCCGGCCCGCCACCCTTACGCCACTCGCTTGGCCCCAGAGCCTTCGCGAATATGGCTTTGCGCACTGCGGCGGGGCTGCGCCGCAACCTAGCTTGCCCGGTGGCTCCTCCCCGCCGGTCTGCGCGGATTGGTGGTGGACGGAAGCCCGGCTGCTGATTGGGTAGCGAAGGAGCCACTCGGGGAGGCTCTGGTGGGTCGGCCGCCCCAGAGTGATAAGTTCGGCTTCAGACACGCCTCAGCGCCAGCAGCGAGCCGGAGCTCTATGGAGGTGGCGGCGGGTACCAGGTGGTGGCTGCAGCAGCGAGTCCTCTGAGCTGAGAGTTTCAGGCCGTCCCCGACTCCTTCCTCCCCCTTCCCTCCCCCTTTTTTGTTTTCCGTTCCCCTTCCCCCTCCCTTCCCCGTCCCCGACGACCGGATCCAGAGGAGGCAGCTGCGGCGGCAGCTGCTGAGTTCTCGGTGAAGGTGAGTGGAGCCGCCGCCGCCGAGCGGAGCCCTCTAAGATGGCCGCCGCCCCTGGCCGCTTCTTGTCGAGTGGTACAAAATGGCGGCCGCAGGCGGAGCCGGGCGGGGCGCCTTTCCTCTACCTCTGGGCCACCTAGAAGTCTCTGGCCTCTGCTTTCCGTCCCATGCCGACCACGGAGAGAGAATCTGCGGTCTGGGCTAGGCCGGCGTGCGGCTGAGTGGCGGGCTCGGCCGGGACCCTGACGCGGGGTGCGAGGACAGCGTGCGAGCGTGGCGGGCCTCGCGCCTCGGCGGGAGGGACGCGGCCAGCGGCAGGGCCCGGCCGTTGGCGCGGGACCAGCGAGGCGGACGAGTCCGGAGCCCGGCCTCCCGGTGGGGAGGAGGTGTGTGGGGCCTGTCGCGGGCTGCCCTGCTTGGGGGAGGCCGAGAGCGGGTCTCTGTTCCCTTTGTGGGCCGCGGCGGCCGAGGCGCTGTCAGCCGGGGGATTTATGGTGGAGGCGGCGGGTGGGCAGGAGGCCGCCTTCCTGCGGGAGAACAAAGAAAGGGCCGGCCCGGAGGGGGCGCCTCCCGCCCAGGCCCCGGTCCTTCTAGGCGCCGGTCGGAAGCCCGGCCAGACTTGGCTTAGGGGAGGAACCCGCTGCTCTTTTGTTCGCGCGGAGTGGGGCGGAGGTTCCTGCTGCCATGTTGTGGCCCCGGTCTTCCGGCGGCTCTCCACACGCGCCCTGTGGGAAGGGGCGAAAGGACGAGCAGAGGAGAAAGCTGTCCAACAGCGGGTGGTGAGACCCTGGCCTGCCTGCCTGTCAGTGCCCAGGCCGCACTTATCAGTACAGCAGACGTTTCCCTCGTAGCACCGCCGGTGTTGAGCATTTCTGTTAAATAAGGCCCCAGAATATGGCGCGTTCTAGACAGTATCCAGATGTTCTTTTTTTTTTTTACCCCCCCCACACTCACACACAAAGGCTATTCTTTGCAACCTTGAACACTAAGGGAATCCACGTAGCTAGACAAGATTTTACTTTGTATTTGTGGTTTTGACTTTGTTCTATTTTAGTCTTCTGAGGGCTGCAATGCAGTGAAAGTTAATCAGCTGCAGTATGAGCGCTGAAATAAATTCTAATAGACTGAAGATTTATAGATCTGTATGTTGGCAGTACCTAATTTTGGTGTTCTCTCTCGTTCCAGGCTTTTCATTTGTACCATCCCCTCCCCTCCCCACCCCATCCATTAATATTATTCTTTTGAAGATTCTTCGTTGTCAAGCCGCCAAAGTGGAGAGTGCGATTGCAGAAGGGGGTGCTTCTCGTTTCAGGTATGGTTAGATACATGGGAGGGGGTGTTTTGAAATGGCAAATCATAAAAACCACTACCAAATCCCACTTAATGGTGCTGTGATTCTAGAATTGTTTTCTGAAGAGTAAATGGGTTAATTTTTGGTGGGGGGGGGGGGGGGCTGTTTTGTCTTACCTCCCTGTGCAGTGTCAGAAGAGGGCATCAGATCCCCTGGGACTGGAGTTGAAAACAGTTGTGAGCCAGCCACCATGTGGGTGTTAGGAATTGAACCCTTGTCCTTTGGAAGAGCAGCCAGCCCTATCAAACAGCTGAGACATCTCTAGCCTCTGGTTCATTTTCTTTTAGGCCAGAGTTCAGTCTCGGTTGTGGTGCAATTTCTAAAATATAAATAGGTTCCCTTTTGAGTGAGACATAATTGGTATAGTAAAAATTTCTTTTGAATAGTGCTTCTTCGGGCGGAGGAGGAAGTAGGGGTGCACCTCAGCACTATCCCAAGACTGCTGGCAACAGGTATGGTAACTTGAAAGACAGTGACTTTTATAAATTGTCAATTTGATTGATTAAAGACTTCTCAGTGCCTTGCCTAACAGGATAATTCTTGGGAAATCATCAGTACTTCTGATGTGAATTCATAAAGTCAAACTGTTTTTCATTTGCTTGGTTCATATTTGCTGGTATTCCAAAATTACTATCCCTGCTATTTGGTTTTTGTGATGTGGCCAGTATGGAATATGCTTGTTAATTTAGTATTAAGTCTCGAGGTTTGGTTCCTGGATCAGCAGTTTTGACATTACCTGGGAATATATTACCAGGAATGAAAATTCTCAGTACTACCCAAAACTTACTACAGCAGAAATTGGGAATGGGCCTTCCAGATGATTCTGGTGCTGTTTGAGAAATAAAGATTTCCAGGATTGCTTTGTTGTGGGGGAAAATGTAAAGCCTAAGGTTTTGTTTCTGTTTAGCAAAGTTTTAGGGTTATGTGAGTGCATGCTGTGTTCGACTTTCCTAATTGTAAGCTGCTTTGTTGATGTTTTATCAAACTAGCGAGTTCCTGGGGAAAACCCCAGGGCAAAACGCTCAGAAATGGATTCCTGCACGAAGCACTAGACGAGATGACAACTCCGCAGCAAACAACTCCGCAAATGAAAAAGAACGACATGATGCGATCTTCAGGAAAGTAAGAGGGTAAGTGTCAGGGTCTGTTATGAGGGAGGAGGAGAGATTAGCTCTGCTGGTGTAGTGTGTGTGATGCACAATTGAAAGGGAAGATTCACATTCAAGGACCTTAGAAGAGGAGTCCATTGCCCATAGGTATTTGGCAGCAGGAGTCATTTGCTTATTTTACCCATAAGCTTGTGCTGTCATATCCATGTTGGTCTGGTGTGTAACATCAGTGATGTGGGGAAATAACTTATGTATGGTTAAGTCCAGATAATGAGAACCTTATGCTCTGAGTTTTGAGAAAGGTTTCTTGTGAAACAGCAGGAAAGCCCGGATATAATTCAGATGTCATAGTATGTATCTGTGAGAAGTGTATTCCAGTGTCCCTGGTTAGATGAAAAATAAATACTTCTGTAACAGCATGCACAAGATTTCCATAAGCTCAAGCCAGAGAAAAATCCCAGCACAAAGGTGGGGAATGGGTCCATAAAGTCCCACTCTTAGCCAAGAAGCTACTGGCAATTCAGAGCTGCTGGGAGGGGGAGAATTTTATTTTGTCCCATGGAGTGATGCTGGACATGTTAGCCACATTCCAGGGCAAGGTCCTATCTATGCTCAAGAACAAATGGCCAACACAAATTATGTTTTTAGTGACTTTTTCTTAGAGAAAGAGCATAAAGTGGGGTAGGGAAGGAGTTGGAGGTCAGAAAAGAGTATAATAAAAATACACTGTATAGAATTATCAAAGAATAAATTGGGGAGAAAAGGGAACATCTTTCCCTGTTTAGGGAGCTAGTAAAGGGAGACTCAATTTAAATGCTATTTTTTCAGCTCAGAAAATAATTGTTAACCCACACTTGAAATGTGTTTTTTTTTTCCCCCCAGCATACTAAATAAGCTTACTCCTGAAAAGTTTGACAAGCTATGCCTTGAGCTCCTCAATGTGGGTGTAGAGTCTAAACTCATCCTTAAAGGGGTCATACTGCTGGTAAGTTTAAAATGTTAGCTTAAAAGAGGGCAAGAAAATAAATTAACAGACCCAAATTTCTTACACTTGATTCTTGCATTAAATCATGAGATAAGTCCTAGATATAGGATGTGTGTCTGAGTAATGATATTAATAAAAACAGAACCACTTTTAATGACATCAAGATTCAAAAGGTGAACCTTCAATCCTCATTTGCCTTGGTTTACCAAGCTGTCTGGAAACAGCTGTTGAATTTTCCTTTTGTGAAAGTGGTTTTGGGAATTTGTGATAATTTATAGGATTCTGGCATCTTGTTTTGCATGACTACCAACCACAGAGTTAGATCCCCCACTCAACAGTGTCTTTGTGGTTTATAGTTCTAGTCCTGATTTTTTTTTTAAAGATTTATTTATTTATTATGTGTACAGTGTTCTGCCTGCATGTATCCCTGCGGGCCAGAAGAGGGCACCATATCTCATGGATGGTTGTGAACCACCATGTGGTTGCTGGGAATTGAACTCAGGACCTCTGAAAGAGCAGCCAGTACTCTTTAACTGCTGAGCCATCTCTCCAGCCCTAGTCCTGATATTTTTTAGCTGGGGTATACAACATGAGATTTATTAGATTGTACCACAGATGATGTTAAAAAAAAAAACTTTTAAAATGGTTTTATTTTTCTGAGGTGTTGTCCAAGTCCAAATGAATTGAGACTGTAGTTTGTTGTGAATTGTAAGATTAAGGCTATTTAAGGGGGGGCTCTTTTCAGCCTCTGGTTCATGGTAGTTTGTTTTGTAATGACTTCTGTAGATTGTGGACAAAGCCCTAGAAGAGCCAAAGTATAGCTCGCTGTATGCTCAGCTATGTCTGCGATTGGCAGAAGATGCACCAAACTTTGATGGCCCAGCAGCAGAGGGTCAACCAGGACAGAAGCAAAGCACAGTGAGTGGCAGTTTTTTGTTTATTTTGTTTTAAAATTAATTTGGAAGATTCCTTATTAGCAAAGTATAATGCCTGTTGTTTACAAATAGACATTCAGACGCCTCTTGATTTCCAAATTGCAAGATGAATTTGAAAACCGAACCAGAAATGTTGATGGTAAGAATTTAAATTTACTATTAACTAGTACTGTGTCTTTTTATTAGATTTATGCATTCCGTGGCCTAGGTGTAAACTAGGTCAGAACACTTGCAAGAATGGTTCTAAGTGTTCTTCTGTTTGCCTCCTCTCCCTCAGTCTATGATAAGCGTGAAAATCCCCTCCTTCCTGAGGAGGAGGAACAGAGAGCCATTGCTAAGATCAAGATGTTGGGGAACATCAAATTCATTGGAGAACTTGGCAAGCTTGATCTTATTCATGAATCTATCCTTCATAAGTGCATCAAAACAGTGAGTATGACTGGAGTAGCTTAGGGGGAAATTAGTCAATTGTATCATCCGAGAAGATGGGTGGCTCCTAACATAGTTGTGGTAAACAAAGAAAACTCGGATTTTGAAGTGTGCATTATAAAGTAAAGATAGATTGGATTGCTTTGTCTGTTTAAAATTTCCTAGAGGGATTTCTTCAACACAGACCAGTAGGAAAACATTGTTTTACATGCTCAAGGAATTGAGTCAGTCGAAATCTAAGGAGGTAATACAACATAAGTCAGAATAACTAATGTTTTAAATGTGTTCTTTTGGTAGCTTTTGGAAAAGAAGAAGAGAGTCCAACTCAAAGATATGGGAGAGGATTTGGAGTGCCTCTGTCAGATAATGAGGACAGTAGGACCTCGCTTAGACCATGAACGAGCCAAGGTATGAGAACAGTAGGAAGGTAGTGTGTCTTGTGAGTTGGGGTGTGATACTCCAAAATGCCTTAAATAGTATACATATTTATCTTAGTTCTAATTTTGTTTTTGTTTTTATCAGTCCTTAATGGATCAGTACTTTGCCAGAATGTGTTCCTTAATGTTAAGTAAGGAATTGCCAGCAAGGATTCGTTTCCTACTGCAGGTAAGATTTTTAACAATATCCAATAAGATTGAGTTTTTCCTTTGGAATAGTAAAATAAAATGTATACTTTTTTAAATGACAGGATACTGTAGAGTTGCGAGAACACCATTGGGTTCCTCGCAAGGCTTTTCTTGACAATGGACCAAAGACGATCAATCAAATCCGTCAAGATGCAGTAAAAGTAAGAGAAGTTTTGGTTTCTTTTTTTTTTATTATTTTTTTAATTTTTCGAGACAGGGTTTCTCTGTGTAGTTTTGCTCCTTTCCTGGAACTCACTTTGTAGACCAGGCTGGCCTCGAACTCACAGAGATCCACCTGCCTCTGCCTCCCGAGTGCTGGGATTAAAGGCGTGCGCCACCACCGCCCGGCGGTTTCTTTTTTATAGTGTAGTCCTTTCCTTAAATCTTCTGAAAACTAGAATTATCTTACTGGTAGTGAGGTTTCCTAGTGTCCTTCATGCCATTTTGGAGGGAAGTTACAGAACTGTAAGTAATTCCCGGGTGTACAGACAATAGTACTTACCCACTTTATTCTCAAAGGATCTAGGAGTGTTTATTCCTGCTCCTATGGCTCAAGGGAGGAATGACTTCTTCCTGGAGGGACCGTTCATGCCGCCAAGGATGAAAATGGATAGGGATCCACTTGGAGGACTTGCTGATATGTTTGGACAAATGCCAGGTAATTTTTAAATAAAGTAGTGTTTTGGTTAAACTAAAAGTTAATGTTTTAATGGAGTTCTAAGAGTTTTCTGTATTTTAAGGTAGTGGAATTGGTACTGGTCCAGGAGTTATCCAGGATAGATTTTCACCCACGATGGGACGTCATCGTTCAAATCAGCTCTTCAATGGCCATGGGGGACACATCATGCCTCCCACACAGTCGCAATTTGGAGAGATGGGGGGCAAATTTATGAAAAGCCAGGTAAGACATTGACAGTGTTTATAATGTCAGGGCTAGCTTTAGGTCCAATACATTTTGCCCTTTATTGCTTATTTTTAAATGAAGCGGAATTTTACTTTTGATACTTTTTTTTTCTTAACCAAATCTCCATCTGACAGTTGTTTCAAATTGAGTAAAATGTGTATCCTTAAAATTAGTAAAATCACATCAATTTATTCAACAGATAGGTTAGATATTTTTCCCTGTTTCATCTTTTCTGGGCAAATGCAGTTAATCTCTGGGCAAGGCAATGGCTTGGCTCATTCCCTTGGTACTCGATTACCATAATTTTTATCTAGACTTTCTCTCTCCCTTTCTGAAATAGGGGCTAAGCCAGCTCTACCATAACCAGAGTCAGGGACTCTTATCCCAGCTGCAAGGACAGTCGAAGGATATGCCACCTCGGTTTTCTAAGAAAGGACAGCTTAATGCAGATGAGGTACATTGCCTACATTACTTCTATGCAGTAGTTTGTCAGTGCAGAGGTCTCTTGCCCGATGATTATAAAAAGACGCGAAAGAGGACTTAAGCTGGATGCCTTCCTTTTTTTCTCTTCTCTTCTCTACTCTTTCTTTCACTCTTCTTTATCTACTTTTCCTCTTCTATTTCTCTTGCTTCTTTTTCTCTCTTTGGATGTCCAGCGTCCTATGAGCGAAGATTATGAGATATGAGGGCAAGTTTCTAAGTAATTTTTACTAGTTAGCATGAGAAATGGTTAAGATGTTGGTGGTTTCTCTGTAAGTAGAATAAAGTATCTATCTGTATTGCTGATATTGGCAAATTGTGATACAAACTAAGGTTTGTAAACAGTATCTTACTCTTCCCCCAGTATCTTCCGCAGATTACTTTTTCCCAGAAGTTGAATTTATTACATGATATGAAGTATCTTTTAGTTTTGTATAGAATTAATGCTAGATATTAAAAGTGTTAACATTTCATGTTTATTAGCTCTTTTAACTTGGTTATGTGTTGATTTATTTTCGATTTTAGATTAGTTTGAGGCCTGCTCAGTCGTTCCTAATGAATAAAAATCAGGTGCCAAAGCTTCAGCCCCAGATAACTATGATTCCTCCCAGTGCACAGCCACCACGCACTCAAACACCACCTCTGGGACAGGTATGGGCCCCAGAGTATCTACTCCCTGAAGATGTGTCCTCACTTCTCAGTGTTTCCTTCCCTCTGCTTCATGGTGGTACTGTTCTTTTTGGTTTGTTACATTTTGATTAAACATGTGTTGTACTGCTTGTCTTTAGACACCTCAGCTTGGTCTCAAAACTAATCCACCACTTATCCAGGAAAAACCTGCCAAGACTAGCAAAAAGCCACCACCATCAAAGGAGGAACTACTTAAACTGACCGTAAGTTTCAAATAGCTCCCTAAATCATCATCTCTGCTGCTTAGAAAACAAATGAGGACAGGGACCACTGATGGGATTGGATTGTGTTCTTTTCAGGAAGCTGTTGTGACTGAATATCTGAACAGTGGAAATGCAAACGAGGCCGTCAGTGGTGTGAGAGAAATGAGAGCCCCGAAACACTTTCTTCCTGAGATGTTAAGCAAAGTGATCATCCTGTCACTAGATAGAAGTGATGAAGATAAAGAAAAAGCAAGCTCTTTGATCAGTTTGCTCAAACAGGAAGGGATAGCCACAAGTGACAACTTCATGCAGGTAGAACATTGTACTGATTGTGTGGTAACACTTTCCAGTTATGGTTGAAAACTAAAACTTTTTTTATATTCTTCCCAAGGCTTTCCTGAACGTATTGGAGCAGTGCCCCAAACTGGAGGTTGACATCCCCTTGGTGAAATCTTATTTGGCACAGTTTGCAGCTCGTGCTATAATTTCTGAGTTGGTGAGCATTTCAGAACTAGCTCAACCGCTGGAGAGTGGCACCCACTTCCCTCTCTTCTTACTTTGTCTTCAACAATTAGCTAAATTACAAGATCGAGAATGGTTAACTGAACTTTTTCAACAAAGCAAGGTCAATATGCAGAAAATGCTGCCAGGTAAGAGCTAGCTGACTGATGGAGATTTTTGTGTATTAGGGAATTATTTGTAAAACTCTTGTCTTAGGCCAACCTGCTAAAGTGAGAAATGTCTTCACAGAGATTGATCAGAATAAGGATCGAATGTTGGAGATTTTGGAAGGAAAGGGACTAAGTTTCTTATTCCCGCTCCTTAAATTGGAGAAGGAGCTATTGAAGCAAATTAAGCTGGATCCATCCCCTCAAACTATATATAAATGGATTAAAGATAACATCTCTCCCAAACTTCATGTAGATAAAGGATTTGTGAACATCTTAATGACCAGGTAAGCTGAATAGTTTCATTTGCTAGAAAGAAAGCCTATACAGGGCAGAGGCCCAAGAATTAGTGTTAAACTAGACAACTGTGAAGTTTCTAACATGATTCTGCTGTTCAGCTTCTTACAGTACATTTCTAGTGAAGTAAGCCCACCTAGCGATGAAACAGATTCTTCCTCTGCTCCTTCCAAAGAACAGTTAGAGCAAGAAAAACAACTGCTGCTCTCTTTCAAGCCAGTGATGCAGAAATTCCTTCATGATCATGTAGATCTCCAGGTCAGTGCCCTGTATGCTCTGCAGGTGCACTGTTACAACAGCAGCTTCCCAAAAGGTGAGGTGACTGGGGGCAGGAGTAGGAGTTAGGGGATGAGGGCAGTCTGAAATACCACACCGAATAATGGAATCACATGCTGGGTTTTTGTTCTGTTTTAAGGCATGTTACTTCGATTTTTTGTTCATTTCTATGACATGGAAATTATTGAGGAGGAAGCTTTCTTGGCTTGGAAGGAAGACATAACTCAAGAGTTTCCAGGAAAAGGCAAGGCTTTGTTCCAGGTAAGTGCTTTGTTAAGACTTTTTGCTATTGGCTTGGCTTGGTTTTTTTTTTTTTTTTTTTTTTTTTTTTTATTGTTGTTGTCTGTCTTTGGTAGTATGTCAGTCTGCACTGTTATATACAAGATGTGGTTAACTAGGCAGCTAGCAAATGTGATAAAGAGATAGGATGAAATCATGCTTAAAATCATAGTGGGGATGTAAAGTTGTTCAGTTAGAGGTAGGTAACAATTTTGGCAAAGCTGCTTACTAAATAAGTTTGGGTTTTAACTTAAAAGCATATTTTTTAGTTTGATTTTCTGTTACCAAGTGGAATTGGAGCCCTGGGAATAGAACTTGACATGAAACTACTCTTAATCTTTACATGGTGTACATATATTAACTTGAGTGCTAAAGGTTATTATTTAGCACAATTGAGGTAGTACTCTACTAATTTTTCTAGGGCCTCAGCTTTAAGGAAGCCCTGGTTTACAACTTCTAAGGTTTGTTAGACTACTTTGTAAGGATCATTCTTAAGAATTTATCCCTACTCTTTTTTTTTTTGAGAATCTGACAGTAATTCCAGAATGCAGCTTGGCATACCCTACTTCCCTATATATATATATATGCTGATAAAATTTGGTTTGGAAGAGTTGCTGTCTTGGACAAGCTGAAGTGTAAGGCTAGTTCATTGATGCTAGGTGCCTTGAAGCCGCCTAACACTTAGGGGTTAGAGGTTCAGGAACCCTCAGCTATAAGTTCAAGGCAAGCCTGGACACTAGTATGAGATCCTGTTTTCTGGTGGGCAGTTAGAGACAGACAGCTCAGAAACTTGTAGCTGTCTTATCTCCAGTTCCCAAAGGCCCAGTGCCCCTTTCTGGCTGTTGTGGGCCCTGTGCATACATAATACACAAACTTTTGAAAGGGAGGAAAGCTGGAAATGGTTCAGTAGGTAAAGCTCATGAAGGCCAAAGTTCAGATCCCAGAATCCGCTTAATCTCTTTGGGTTAATTTCTGGTTATATATCCTTAATCAGAACTTTAATTTTTTGTTTTTTCGTTTTTCGAGACAGGGTTTCTCTGTGTAGCTTTGCGCCTTTCCTGGAACTCCCACTTTGGAGACCAGGCTGGCTTCGAACTCACAGAGATCCGCCTGCCTCTGCCTCCTGAGTGCTGGGATTAAAGGCGTGCGCCACCGCCGCCGCCGCCACCCGGCCAATATATTTTTATTTTATGTGCATTGGTGTTTTGCTAGATCCCCTGGAATTGGAGCTATAGACAGTTGTGAGCTGCCATGTGAATGCTAGGTATTGAACCCAGGTCCTCTGGAAGAGCAGTCAGTGTTCTTAATTAACCACCGAGCCATCTCTCCAGCCCCCAAAACTTAATTTTTATATACTATACTACGAAGTTTCATTAAATTACAAATTTAATTTACAGGTAAATCAGTGGCTAACCTGGCTAGAAACTGCTGAAGAAGAAGAATCAGAGGAAGAAGCTGACTAAAGAACCAGCCAAAGCCTTAAATTGTGCAAAACATACTGTTGCTATGATGTAACTGCATTTGACCTAACCACTGCGAAAATTCATTCCGCTGTAACGTTTTTTCACAATATTTAAAGCAGAAGCACGTCAGTAAGGTTTCCTTCTGCATAAGGTTTTTGTAGTGTGATGTCTTAATCATAGTCTACCATCAAATACTTTAGGAGTATCCTTAATGTTTAGATAGAATATTAGCAGCATGCAATAATTACATCCTAAGTTCTCAAGCAGAGGCAGTCTATTGCAAGGACCTTCTTTGCTGCCAGTTACCATAGGCTGTTTTAAGTTAGAAAACTGAATAGCAACACTGAATACTGTAGAGATGCACTTTGCTCAGTAATACTTGAGTTGTTGCAATATTTGATTATCCATTTGGTTGTTACAGAAAAATTCTTAACTGTAATTGATGGTTGTTGCCGTAATAGTATATTGCCTGTATTTCTACCTCTAGTAATGGGCTTTATGTGCTAGATTTTAATATCCTTGAGCCTGGGCAAGTGCACAAGTCTTTTTAAAAGAAACATGGTTTACTTGCACAAAACTGATCAGTTTTGAGAGATCTTTAATGCCCTTGAAGTGGTTTTTGTGGGTGTGAAACAAATGGTGAGAATTTGAATTGGTCCCTCTTATTATAGTATTGAAATTAAGTCTACTTAATTTATCAAGTCATGTTCATGCCCTGATTTTATATACTTGTATCTATCAATAAACATTGTGATACTTGATGTAGTTGTACATGACTTCAAATAGTACCTGCAAAGTTATGGAGAATTGTTCATTTTGTTTTGAGGTATGGACTTATCTCAGTTTAAGAACTTGGGAAATTTTTAGCTACGTAGTCTTCACACCAGTGCTATTCAGTAGTGATTCACCCTGTAAGCATCAGTCGTTGTCATATTTTCAAGTATTCAGTTTTTCACCCTATGACTGTTTCCTGTCAGTCTAGTTCTAATACAAACTGTCAACTTAGTCTGGAGCTGCCTTTACTGTTATAGACTTTGTATCAACTCTTCAGCTCTGCATCCTCTTTGCTGAGGTACCTGCTTAGCCCTTAATCTCCATTTACTCTTCAAAACAAAACAACCAGAGCAAGAAATGGAAAAATAAAACTGCCGTGTCGTTTAGAACCCAGCAAATGCTAGACTTTGTCATCGTAAAATTTGCTCCCTCTCACTGCTTTTGATTCTGTCTAGCCCTTGCAATATGCAGTTCCTCTACCTGAAACAGTGCTCTCTCCTCTAGCTGTTAACCTTCAGATGTTGGTGTAATTAATTTCACTCAAAGATCTTGCCTTCTTCCTCTGCCAGGACAGTGAGGAGTTTGTGTCAGTCAAGGTTTTTTTTTTTTTTTTTTTTTTTTTTTTTTTTGAGATGTTACTGGAAGGTCCACAGGGAACCCAGAGAACAGTAGACCACAGAAATAGCCTGGCTGGGTCAAGTCCCACTGTGTCCCCGGCATTCTCTGCCAATATCTGTTCTCAGGTGTCACCAGTTCCAAAAGCCTACAGTGGAATTGAGTAGGGACAGATAGACCCCTTGGTTTCCCCCAGCCAGAACCCTGGTCTGCTTTGGGGGCTCATCAACTCTCAGTGGAGTAAAAGAAACTGGGAAGAGTTGCTTAAGTGGACAGACAAGGATAATTGTGGGATTGAGGCTCATCCCACAATAGCCTAGCCTGTGGTCCACTACTCATCCACCCCTTGGTGAAAGCTGAGCACCAAAGGGACAGTGTAGGTGCATCTCATCACTGCTAAATGGGATTTTGTGACCTTCAATCTTAGTGAATTTTGGGAATTAGGAATTACAGGGCAATTCAGAATTAGGTTTAGGATCCAAAATGTCCTGGATAAAAGATTGTCTTTGAACTAAAGATTGATTGACTGCATGGTAACTGAGTTAGGGCTAACACACTAACTGAAATGATCTGTGTATTGCCCACCCACTAGAAAAACTAGTAACAAATAAATGTTTGGATAGTGACCTGGGTTTTTCTCATTTGTTACACCCCTTGATCCTAATACTTTACAGTGCTTGTAACGCAAGTTTTAAACATTCAACCTTCACAAATGCAATGGTTATATGAAGTGTGTGTGTGTGTGTGTGTGTGTGTGTGTGTGTGTGTGTGTGTGTGTGTGTGTGTGTGACATTTTAAGGCACTCTCAAAAGTGAGTTCCTTGAAAGCAGGCTCTGGAACTGCTCATGCTGTGATGGATGGATAATCCTTTAATATACCCCCAAATGAAGGTTATCCTCCAAATCCTTGGGGTGGGTGTTGTGGACCAGCTGTAGCTCTCAGTGTTGAGGTAGGGTAGGAGACAGATTTACAAAGCTCTTCCCCACTGTCTCCTTGTCAGACAAGCTGACGAGTCCAGTCCAGGTAGATATGAGCAGAATAGCCGAAACTTGGAATCACATGGCTTCTCCTCACCCCCACATCACTTGGAACCTGGGTCTGGAAAACAGGCCAGAAAGCCTTCCATCCACCCACCAAGAGTGCTCTCAGAGCCGGCTGCCAGGCCCCAGGATGGGACTTGATTGGCAAGATAAAAGGATCTTGGTCCTGCATCCAAAAAGACCTGGTGGACATACTCAAGTGAGAATCTCAGCTTCAGCTTGGTTCAATGACAATGATGTGACTCAGCACTGACACCTTAGGGCTGGCTGTTCAGGTCAGCTGAACACTGATCTGGAACATACTCTGGTTGGCAGGAGAGACAAATACTTAGGGTAGTATTCCATTGAGGGAGGGGAGACAAGGGGAAGGGAATGATGTCAGTGCTACCTGAAATGATGTTCAAAGAACACAACTTGTGAAGAGAGAGAAAGATCAAAGTTCAGGAGGGAATCAAGCCACTATCTAGAGAAAGAACATTCAGAGGAAGCAAATCCACGGACCTGAGGTGGGGATGGATGCTCACTGTCTTGAGAATCTCAAGGTCAGGGTGGTTGAGCAGAGTAAGGTTGCCTGAGACTGGAGATCAATGGGGTGATTGGTAGAACCAGTCCAACAGAATAAAGACAGGCCTTTATTCAAAATGGAATGGGCTGGCCTCTGAGGATCATATTACCAAGCAGTGATAATTCACTAAAATACCCAGTGTCTGCACTGTGTTAAGACATTTGGTTGATTCACTGAGCATTTAGTATGTCTAATTGGAGTAGAAACACTGCTTCATTCCATCTAATCTTAGCTTCCCCAGGTACTATGCTAGCTCTAATTTACTGATGGGGGAAACAATTGAATAAGTCATAACACCCTGACCAAAAGCTTTAAATGGTTCCAACCCCAACCTTGTATTGTGGTTCAAGTTATTGCTCATTTCTTTTTATTCAGTCTGGGACCCCTGCTCAAGGATGATCCCACCCACATTCAGGTGGATCTTCTCTCTCCAGTTAAAATAGGGCTGGAAAGATGGCTCAGCTCTTCCAGAGGTCCTGAGTTCAATATCCAGCAACCACATGGTGGCTCACAACCATCTATAATGGGATCTGATGCCCTCTTCTGGCATGCAGGCATACATACAGACAGCATTCATACATTTTTTAAAAATGCATAAATAGGCCGGGCATCGGTGGCACATGCCTTTAATTCCAGCACTCAGGAGGCAGAGCCAGGAGGATTTCTGAGTTCGAGGCCAGCCTGGTCTACAAATCAAGATCCAGGACAGGCACCAAAACTACACAGAAAATCTCTCTCAAAAAAACAATAATAATAATAAATATTTAAAACTTTCTGGGAATAGACACACCCAGAGGTTTACTCACAATAAAGTTAGCAAGGAAGGTTAACCATCACATCCAGTAAGAAGCTTCATGCCTATGGGAGGGGCCCTTCATCATGTGTATGTGTGTGTCTGCCTGTCTGTGTGTAATGAATGACACAGCACTTGCATGGGGACAGAGGACAGCTTTTCAGAAGTCCATTCTACCTTGTTTGTGAGGAAGAGTCTCTTTGTTCCTGCCACAGCACAACAGTAAGTGAGTTTCCATCCACTTCTGTCTCCACATTCCATCCCATTGGAGTGCTAGAATTACAGACATGAGCCACTTCAGCTGGCTTTAAGGTTGGTTCTTGGAATTCAGATCGTGTGACTTGTGCAGCAAATGCCATGTCACCAGCCCCCTTTCGTTTCTTTTCCCTTTTTCTGCACTCCTTCCTATAATGTGATTGGTCAAGTACTGTGTGACTTCCTGGAATGGAAATGATGTAAACAAATGTCTAGTCACCCTAGATACTGCATGGATGACAGACAAAAAAAAAAAAAAAATCATTCAAGTCTAGTTTGGGGAGCCAGTGAGTTTATAGAAGCATGGATAAAGAGAGTACCAGCACTCACCTTTCTTTGCTTCCTGATTGTGGGTACAATGTGACCAGTGACCTCACGTTACCACCACCATGCCTTCCCTGCCACTATGGACAATATCTCTTGAACTGTAGCTCAAAATAAATCCTTCCCTCCATGAATTGCTTGTTAGCTATTTTGGTCTCATTAACCAGAGAAGTTACTGGTGGTTTGAATGGGAAATGTCCCCTGTGGGAGCATGTAACTGAACACTTGGTCGCCGAGGTGGTTGCACTATTTGGAGAGGTTATGAAATCTTTAGGAAGTGGAGCCTTGCTGGAGGCAGTTATGTTGCTGGGAACAGGATTTGAAGGTTTATTGCCTCACCCAACTTCCAGTTCTTGCTTTCTGTTTCCAATGTACAGCAGGAATGACATCATCCAGCACCCTGCTCTGGCCACTTGCTGCCATGCCATCCTCACCATTATGGACTCCTTTGGAACCATAAGCCAAAATAAACTCTTAGCCATTGGCATGATCATGGTGTTTTGTCACACATAGCAACAAAAAAGTAAGAAAGACAGTAACTTATGCACTGGACTTGTGTGGCCGGAGCTGGGAGAGCCTCTGGAGCTGCAGTCACCATGGGGTTGGACCGGAAGACCTGAAGTACAGGACACTCAGCTTTCAACACCCTTGTGATGGACTGGATTGTATCCAACTCAAAAGGCCTAAATGTGGCCTCACTTGGGAAAGGTCTTTGCCAATGGGACCAAGTTAAGATGAAGTCCTGAGGATGGTCCCTAGTCCTGTAGGATAATGTCCTTACAAAAAGAGAAGAAACACAGACAATACCATTGATGATAGAGGCAGAGATAGGAGGGATGACCTCTAGACATGGAGGGATGCCCGAGAGTGCAGGCGACACTAGAAGAAAAAGGCACAGAAGCGCTTCTCCCTCCCCTAGGGAACAAACTTTGCATTAAGACACCCCATTACTGTGGCCCTGGGAGCCTACTACACCTGCTCTTCCCCAGAGCCATCCCCCACTCAAGGACTACCATGCCTTCCAGCTCCCTAGAACTCCAAAGCTGCCTCATTCAATGCCATGACCCATTAATATAATTCCTTATATTGTGGTGACCCCCCAACCATAAAATTATTTTCGTTGCTACTTCATAACTGTAATTTTGTTACTGTTATGAATCATAATGTAAATATTTTCATAGAAGTTTGCCAAAGGGTTCGCAACCCACAGGTTGAGAACCACTGGTGTAGCCAAGCCAAGCATGATGCTGCAAGTGAATGAATGGATGATGGCCCTCTATTCAGTTACTCAGAATAATTCTCTGAAGAAACTTCCAGGAGTCATCTGTTTTAGGAGTGAAAATTTAAAAAAAAAATTAAAAAGGGAAAGAAGAAAGGTAATTATACTAACAATTTCTGTAACTTGTCAGGGAATGACCTTTTGAGGAAGTTTCAGATTTTGAGGAGCTTAATTTATATAATTTATAATATAAAATCATAAAGTCAATGCAGGGCCTTCAAGGATGCCTGAGTGAAAATCATGATTGTGTGAAAATACTTAAACCATAAAGGTAAATGGCAGTATGGGGCGCGAGGGGGTTGCCAATATGTCTGATTCAAAACATGGATAATTAATGGCAAGCTAAGAAAAGAATCTGTCATACACACCTCAGGAGTTGACCACAAACAGCTCTTCAAAAATTAGGCAGGAAAAAGAGCAACGTTTCAAAGCCCTGAGATGGAGATATCATATATCCCAATTCAGACAGTAGGGAAGCACAACTGTCAGGAGCCTGGGAACTAAGAGTTGAATAACTCTAAAGCTCATATTTTCTTCTAATGCAGCAGTTCAAATTGGAGTTTATTTCCAAATACAATGGGGAAACTCCAGGTACAGCATCTATGGCAACCATTTGGTGGTATTTTGTTTGTTTTCCAATACTGAAGATGAAACTCGGAGCCTCATACATGCTAGGCAAGAATTTTACCACGAAGCTACAACCCCTCCTCAGACTTGCAAAGTTTAATTTCCAAATTACCCTTCAGAAAAAAACAAAAATCCAGCTCTCGTTAGTTCTCTCCAGCCACACAAGGCCTTTGCAGTTACTTGTTCTGCACAACGTTGTTCTGTTTGGAAATGACACATCTGTTTGAAATTGTCCCCACCACTGCTGGTTTGTGATGCTCACAAAGGCCTTGAAAGAGTTGGTCTTTAGAGAAATTGAAAGCTTTGAGCACTGTTCTGGGGGACTTGACTGTACAGTCTCAAGAGTCATCAGAAGCCAAAACAAGTGTTTTAAAGACAACTTTAAACTTAATATTGTGTATGTGTATGGTGTATGTATGTGCACCATTTGCTTGCAGTACCTGTGGAGGCCAGAAGAGGACATCATCCCCTGGAGCTGGAGTTACAGGTGTTTGTGAGCTGTTAGATGGGTGCCAGGAATTGAATTCATGTCCTCTTCACCACTGAGCCATCTCTCCAGCCCAGGGCATATGTTTCTTTAAGATTTATTTTTATTACTTTTTTCTTTTTGAGACAGGGTTTCTCTGTGTACAGCTCTGTCTGTCCTAGAACTTGCTCTGTAGACCTGGCTGGCCTCAAACCCAGAAATCTGCCTGCCTCTGCCTCCTGGGTGCTGGGATTAAAGGTGTGCACCACCACTGCCC